GGTGAGGATGGGGGTGCAGTTTGTTAGGACCAAATGGACAGAGGGTGTGGACCCAGCTGTCACTGGAAATTCAGAGGCAGAGAAGGGCTGTCAGAAGAGGTGGGAGACCGGGGTGACCTTCCGTTCCTAACCCATTTACAGTGGCAGGACAGTGGGGACCTTCATCCGTCTGGAATGTATCGAGGAGAGTCCCCAGCATGTCTTCGTGGCCAAGGTACCACATGGCAGCACTGAGTTCCTGCAAACACCAGGAGTGTGGTTAGTAACAGAAGATTGCTTTAACAAGTCAACCAAAACAAATGTCATGGTTATCCCCAGCACAGTGACTTCAGCTGCCGCATAAACACAAACTGAGCATTCAGTCCCACAGGCAGTCACCAGCTTCTAATGGTTAGTGCCACAGATCTTCACGTCAGAATGCCTACCACTTGAGGTGAGTCACTAGCCCCAGAAATCATTGGTATTCAGACCCATTTGTTGGCATCCTTCTTCAAAGCTGCTGCTGCGTATTCACATGATGTTCCTGGCAAGACGACTCAGCAGCAAGAAGCTGGTTTTGACCTCTCTTTCCTCCTGCTTGGCACACAGCCTGCCCAGATGACACAGAAGTTTGAGGTTAGAGCCTCCTAGCCTCTGCTTCTGCCTGTGGACCACTCCTTAAATGAAGTCCCAGGATTATAATGGTGGAGGCATTGTATGTCCCTCTGCTCTGACTGTTAAAATAGCCAGTAGGTACTCTGTGGTGGGTCAAGATCTAGCTAAATGATCAGTCTTTGAAAAAACTTGTTCAGGTCCAGTTTTTAACGCTTCTCTAAACCATCTTTAAACAAATATGTTCTTCTGTGTCTTGGCTCTTTCTGCAGGCTGCACAAAGCTGAACTGTCATGTGGGACTGATAACAGCGTTAAGGCAAAGTAAAGCAGTGCTCAGGAATGGCCTAGAAAAAAGTCATTCTACTGCCTGTTGCTACCTCTAGTGAAACTAGCAGTTTTGTGTCTGTCTCTCAAGCAAGCGAGGACTCCTACGTTTATGACAGATGGATAATGGAAGAGGCTGCAGACAGTCAAGTCTGGCATGGTTAGGGATATGACCTAATGCCACTGTTACCCTGTTCAGCCCATTGGCTTTCAGAATAAATTTGTCAGCACTGTGTTTGCACTGGACTTGTTTATAACCTTTCCAGCATGCAGAAAAAACCTTCATGAACTCAGTCTGCTAGCAAATAGCTGTGTAAATCACTGGCAAGGCATGAACAGTTTCTTCTGTCTAGCAGTTTGTCCACCGTGACCAGTTTGTCTTGTTGGACGAGGACTCATCCTAACTGTCAGTTAAAGCTCCTCTTCATGTGACATCTTGGGACTTCGTGTTAATTCGCTTCCATATGAATGCTTTGTTCCTTCACAACACAGGCAAGGGATGTTCTTAGAGAGTTTACTCACTAATACACATCTTTAATCACCTCTCTTTTTTAATTTACCTGATTACTTAGAACAAGGCAGATCATATTACCAGTCCTCAGAGTTCACAATATTTCTACAATTAAAAAATATTTCTGCAATTAAAACTAACTTTAAAAACTGTCCTAGGGTGTTTTTCACTTTATTATTCTTATTTTCTTCTCTAAATAATTTTCTTTTCTGTGAGTGAAAAGAAGGCCTGTGCACAAAACTGAGCAGTGGTTTTATTGCTGCCTTGCTTTTGCTTCCCTGGAACAAAAAACCCTCATTTTTTATTGTTACCATTTTTTCTACCCCTTTAATTGCCATTAGATAATTTTAAACCTCTTTATAATAACATCCAGGCTTTATATTGTTGTTGTTGTGAATCTCAACTTAATGCAGGAGGTCTATGTTCAAAAAGTACCTTAAGCTGGTGCAAGCTGAAGTCCAAGAGACAAGCTCTGATGAATTTTTCTCCAGCTATTAGTATGTTACCAACCCATGTCCACTCTGTGACAGAGTCAATCCTTATTTTAGGGGCTTAAAAGGGAACATAATTTCTGCACCTCACCTGCAGACCATCATTTGCAACTTTGAGCACAGTATCAGGAAGTGCCACATGTAATCCCGTACATCTGGGTGATCTGACTGAGTGCTCCCTATTCACCCTCTGACGCTGAGCTGCAGAAAGCAAACACTAGCCAGCACCTCTTTGCATCACTCTAACACCTGGGCAGACATTTGGACTGCTGCAGTTGAAATCCAGCTGGGCTTCTGGTTGATGGGGCTAATTAAATGTCCTTATAACATGGGTGTAGAGGAAAAGAGCTATTTTTAATACCTTTGATACTGAAAGCTAATCTAATTGTCCCTTCACCTGGTTGGAAAAGAATTTAGATTTAGCAAACCCCCTAGAGTGTGGAGACCCCAATGTAGTGTCCCACACTGAGTGATTTCTCACTCTTCCTGGAAAAAAACTTTAGAAATACTAGTTCACTTCACAATTAACCTTAATTATGTCATCAATATTTAATATGTCCATCAAACATTTTATTTTTCACGAGCTTCTTGCATTGCACAGATAAAATAGTTTGTCTGCTAATCATATGCCAATTTGAATGATTTCTATTTGGTACAGTTTAATATAAGCATGCTCTGATAATTGCTAGAATTTAATTTATTTCAATCTGTATCTGCGTGTTCCACAGGTGATAATCAGTGGTCTTTTCTTTCTCTGTCCCACGGGAGACAATGACCTTATCACTTCCTTCCTCACTAAAATCCTGCTGTGTTCCCCAGAAACCAATTGCATTTCCTTTCAGATTTATATAACTGATTGATGGAATTAAACTAAACTCAGAGAAATTGCTCCCAACCTTTACACAGCAACTGGATTGTTGCTTCTATTTCAGACCTGAAGAGGAGCCAGTGGTCCCAAAAGAAGCTGTTGTGCCAAAAGCCTGCCTGCTTTTCCCAAGGACTAGTTTTCCTTCTTCCCCAGAAGCCTTGCTTCACATACCCTATCAGACCATTAGAACTACAACACTGCTATTCTAGAGTCTCTACCATCCTAGGCAAAATTGGCTTTATAACAATTCATATTGAGAAAAACATTTTTGAGGATTGCGGTCTCCTGGATGCTAGCCAAAACTGCCTGCATGCTGCAGCATAGCATACAAACTTCAGAAAGGACTAATATGTAGAGTCAACACACATTATATTAAGTTCATAGCATCAGTTTAATTTTTAAAGGCATAGCAATAGTTTAATATTAAATCAGGTCTATCTATTTTATGCTTTCAAATCTGTTTCCAGAAAGTAAGGCGGGATTTCACTGTGTTTTTGCAAGAACTTGGTTCAGATTCTCCTGCTAGCATAACATGCCCTTTAGAGTCGATAAATTTATTTCTTGTACCACTGTGGTGGTACTGCAGGTAACACTGAGAAAATACTTCAATAATAAGAAACATGAGCTTTTTGAAGCTGTGATATTTCATTTTATTGCATGAAGATGCTGTTCCCATTATAAGCTCAGAGATACTGAATCATACAGGGAGGTATTGCCTTGGGAATCCCAACTATCCAGAGGCAGAAAAAGTTACAATATTTTAGGAAAAATGAAAAATATATGCGATTCTGATATTGCTTGTAATGCACAGGATTCCAACCTTGATGTCCACTGCTCACCTTTAGGATTTAGAAGGGAGGCTGTGTCCCCCTTAGACAGAGTGTCTCTTCTGTCTTTTTTAGAAGAGGGCTTGGGCCCTCCTCTAAATACATGGGTGTTCCTTCTGTAAACCACCTCTGCCAAAGGTCAGGATTAGTCCCTGTTATAGTCCATCAGTTTTATGATGTGAGGGAGTTGTGTTTCAGTTTGGAAAAAAGGAAAAGAAAATTTTTATTAGCACACTCAAGAAGAAACGAAATAATTCCAAAAAAATTGTAAAATCTCAGATGTCTCAATAAATGAAGATTGGAAATCTCTTCAGTCAGCACTAGAGTTCAACTTTACAGCTTAAAAAGGCAAGTACAATTATCAGCTGCATCATTTAACATTTCACTGATGTGTATCTTCTTTGAGATGGTGAAATAAAAAGCAGAACTGGCTTTATTTGTCTTTCATTTGCTTTCCTTAAAGGGTTAAAAGAATTCAGACTTTCAAGTTGGGGATGTTTTAAAAGAAGTGTCACCCACCTCAGTTGAAATAATCTATCTCTGCCTTTTGAGAGTGCTTCTAATTATAGATGTTCCTTGAGTTTTGAAGCAAATGCTGTTATCCAGTTCAATATATTGTACATTGCAGATGATTGTTTTATCTTTGCATCCAAAAGTACCTTTTCAGGTTTTGGTCACAGGTTTACATTAATTACATCAGCCCTTGTAGAAACGAAGGCTCTATAAAGCACCCAAAAAGACAGGCATAATTCACTTACAAGTACACACATGATGAATTTCTCTTTTTAAAAGTGTTTTTTTTTCCAAGTAATGGGTTCTTATTTTCCAGCTTTGTATTCACCTGTGCACTGGTTTCATGAGAACAGACTTCGCCCTTTGATCACAGTGACGGAGTCATCGTTTTGTACCTGCTGAACTGCTGTATAAATGTCTTACCTAAAGAGGTCTTAACTACATACTTCCTTGACATGATAAAGAAAGTTTTCATCGTGTCTGTTATTTTCTGTGGTTTGAAGTACATAGTTCTGTGAGTGTGGAAGAAACATGGGTAGTAGGAAAACAAGCCAAATACACAAACATACCTAAAAGAATTCTTCTAACAGCTATAAAATAGGCAAAAAAGCATTGTAAACAGAAGTGATATTGGTCAGGCTTTCTAGCACAAATTATTTCCTTTCAGTCTGAAATGGAAGCAGAAATCCTTCAACTAGGTAGGGTGGAAAGTATTTGTTCTAAGTTTAACTTAATTATATTGTTCAATTAATTAGTAACTGCTGGATTCCTGGTGCATATAGGTGACCTCCTGATCATCAGGACCAAAAGTCTGGATTCACTCATTTACTTCAACATAAAGTCATTAATCACAACTCTTTCTTCTTCTACCAGCATGAGCCTTCTAGACACTGCAATGAAAATAAGCAATAATAGCCTAGCAATTACTGAAATCCTATATTAAATACAATTACATCCACAAATCAGCTGTCAGTTGCAAGTCAACAAAAAGCAGTGCAAGAACAGGGCCCACCAATGCTGCAGTGACTGCTCTTTGCAGAACTTTGGGGACCCCACCTCACAGTGAAAAGAGACTTCTGCCCAGGGAGGACTTTCCTCTGGGGTGAGAAATTATACTGCTTTTTCCAACAGCTATGATAATGCATGTGCTGCTCCCTGCACATTTTTGTCACTTGCATTCTTGGGCCATCAGAGCTATAATGTCACCGTTACCACTTATTTAACCTGTCAGAGTATTTTAACGAAATACACCTTTTCAATTCTGATGTGTGTGTATTTTCTGTGCTTGTCAGTACTCTCTCCAAGAAAATATACGAAGATTTCAAATGAAGAAATACAAGATTCCTCGGGATGTTTTACATCTGTCTGTTCCAGAGGGATATCATTTATGCATAGTACTCCCTTTAACAATGTTAGTTACTTTTTTATTTTCTTTTAACACTTTTGAGAAATACCAGACTCTTAATGATAGAACTACACAAAGCACTCTGTGAGGGTCACCTTCTTAAGTCATTGAGAGGTTATATTCAGTGAATAAATTGCAACAACTTGAACATTACAGAAATCTTACATATCAGGAGCAACATATCTTGTGTTGCACAAATGCATTTTAGGGATGACAAAACAAGACTGGCGCTCTGATAGCTGCAATGGCTGAGCTTCTAAACCCTTCTTCCCAAGTGAAGCTTGGTAGCAGGTACTGTAAGCCATAGCTCAGAACACCAAAGGCAATTTATTCCACATACTCTGACCACAGATTAAATTGAATGTGAAGAATGAAACCTTCACAGAAAGTTTCTTTGTGTTCTCCCAAGAAAATGACTAATCTGAATTCTGGTGGAGCCACCTTTTCCAGCATAAATTAATACCATAGTTCTGACGATTTCCTATATTGTTAAAGTGGTTACATATTCCACATCCAGAGAGGCATTAGTTTCATTTTCTGTGTCTACCGAACACTCAGGCCTGTTGCAAAAATGTAACAACATGCAAATAAGAATCTTCAGTTTCATATCAGATAACGTATACTGGATACAGGCACTGCTTAACAAACTGCATCATCACTGCCTGTATACCTGGAGCAGTTAGTTTCAATTTTGTTACTGATTTATAGAAAAGAATGCAACCATTTCAATGACATATTAGAAAATCAAATTCCACTTCTCAAATATTTTAGTGGTTCTGCCTTGCTGCTTTTATGTACTGTCACCTAGGACACACAGCTTGTGTGCCATTATTGTGCTTGGAGTTGTTAAGAAGGTGAACTTTAAGTGTTCCATCTCTGGTTTATGGTTTTCCAAAAAGGAGTAGATACTGTAAGCCATTTATCTGGAAGTGGTTTCTCATGTGATTTAAGAGAAAGCTTTTACTTTTTCAGCAAGTAAAATATCCCAAAGACTGAAAAATAGGAAAGGAACAGCTAAAACATATGTGGCCCTTTATAAAGAGAACATACAGTGTCATGTATTTATTTTCACTTTTCTTTTTGTTGTTGAATATCACACAAGCAAAACAAAACATAGGTAGACAGGATTTGCTTATTGATATTGCTGATCATAGATTCATTTCAATTGGAAAGGACCTTTAAGATCATTGAGTCTAACCATTAACCCAACACCGCCATGTCCACCACTAAACCATGTTCCTAAGTGTCACATCTACATGTCTATTAAATACCTCCAGGGATGGTGACGCAGCCACATCCCTGGGCAGCCTGTTCAATGCTTGACAGCCCTTTGGGTGAAGAAATTTTTCCTAATATACAACTTAAACCTCCCGTGGTGCAACCCTGAGGCCATTTCCTCTTGTTCTGTATTTTGTTATTCAAGTAACAAGGTTGATAATCCTGTCCCTAATTCAAATCTGAATCCTTCACGAAAAAGCAAAGAGATCAATTTAATTAGCAGATACTAAGATGCCATTATATGCCTCTTCCCATTCATTTCATTGAGTAAATGACACATTCATAGAATATTTCTCTCAGAGATCTTAGAACTGGCAGCTCTCTAAAGGTAGGCTGTGTTTATGTGTACTTTCTTTATTTGATAGTTTGTGCAGTTCTACTCAAAAATATTAAAAATAAGGTCAGACATCAGAGTATCAAAGTTTATTTGAAGAGAAGAAAATAATAATTACATTATCATTACATTCTCTATAGTATTGTGCTTTATTTTGAAAACGAGCCTAAGCCATCATCCAGATCTAATTATTTTTGTTAAATGAGGATAAATTAAAATAAATTACTAAAAGTGCAAGGACTCTTCTCTGCCTGAGAGTCCAAAGAGCCATAATTCTGAACATGAAGCCTATTTAGCTTATTTCAAGTTGCTCAATTGACTCAGATTATGGTCCTCAGTTTCCAAAAGAAAAGTAGCTATCCAAAATTCAAAGTTACTTTTGAAATCTTTATCTGCTGATATCAAGTATGTGATTTGGAATATATATTTTAGGTGAGAAGAAGAACTTCTCTGTATTGCCAATTTCCAATTTCACAGGAGAGTTAAGTGCAGTACTTGCAGGACAAGAGTTCTTTTTGGCAATTAACCAAGTGAGCTAATCACTGAAAACAATCCTGCAACAGTAGGCAGCACAGACACATTATCCAGCTTGTTTTTAATTCTCAAGCATGCTAGATTTGTATCCACTTCATATTGCTTTAAGCGCATCCTCACAGCAGTCAGTTTTCTAGCTTTCCAACAATTTGACAGCTAGTTGAGATTCATAGTGGTGATAGCATTAAAACAGATAAAGCTCTTGCAATCGAGGAAAAAGAAACAAGTTCTTGTGCCTATTCTACTGCATCAAATTCAGCCACTTCAAATGCTAAAGAACTAATGAAGACTAGATGAAGCTATAAATACACCTTTCGTCTTAGTAAGTAATATTACTTCTTACTGCAGTTACCCATTATTCATTTTATATTGTATTCTTGCTAGTCACTGACTATGTAGGCCTATCAAAGTGCACTCTGTACCTCTCTCTAGCAGTCATACGGGAAATCCAAAGGGAAGAGTTAGGCTCCTGCTGTCTCCAGACTCCTTTAGTGGGTTTCCATGTCAGTATAATAAAAGTGAGTGAAAATCTGTTCTCTATTCTTAAAATTGTGTCACCATCCTAGCTACAAAATCTTGAAAGCTAATAATTTTTGCATGTTTAGACTCTCATGTAAACCTTAGAAAACATGGTTGCCAAGTGTCCAAAAACCAAAGACCAGAAAGAATCAGGGTAGTCTGGAAAACCCCTAGAAACACAGTTATAAAAAGTGTTTCAGTGGATGACTTCAATGTTAATATGGCATTTTTAGGACATCCTTAGCACAGTGTGGTTGGGAGTTTGGTCTGCCTTTCAACTCAGCAAGGCCTGCCTTGGAAAGCATTCCCAGGGTTTTGAAGCAATGCAGCTTCCCCAGAAGGACAGAAATCAATGTAGGAAGGTGGATCACAAGACCTCAATGCAAGATATATAAAAAAATTTGAAACATGAGAGAAGATTAAATTGTCTGTAAAAGCAACCAAGAAAGGTTGTCATCTAAATTGATGATATGCTAATGTGTTCTCACAGAGTTGACAAGAATAAATGCACCGTCATAGAAGTATAACATTTCCTTGTTGTTTCTAGGCTGTTGGATTTCTTTTTGTCTAAACAGCCCTGACTTTTAGCTCTCATGTGTAAAAGAAATCCATTGGTTAGCATAAACCTGGGGTTTTCTACATTCTGCGACAGACTTTGATAATTACAAGGCAGAAATTTCAAAAGAAAAGAAAAATTGAAGCTGACAAATACATTGAAAGAGAGATACGTAATAAACTCAAGGTAATATCACTCTATTTTACATCCTGCAACCCCTTAATAGATACTGTTATTCTAGAAATCATGCCCATTATTTTTCAAAACCTTTCAAAATCTTAGGCAATGTGACTAGGAAGCAGTAGAAGCCAAAGGTCAGTAGAAGTACAGCAAACTTATAAAAAAATTAAGGTACTTTCTCCAGGATACTCTAGTTCTCCACAAGTCTTTCCATTTCCAGCAATTAACCTTGTTATACAGTATCATACAAATCTGGGGGCTTTTTTCAGCAGTCCTTTCATTTTGTTAAATTGAGAAATGTGTCTGGATTAAGAGGAAATGCGGTCTAGTGACATCCTTTAAATGACATTGTTAGTAGGGTTGAAGAGTGAGGCAGTTTATGGATGATAACTAGAAATCATGCAGGAAGAATTTAAGTAACAAAACTAGGAAAGACATTGTGAGGAAAACTAAAACAAAGATACTGTGTTTAGAAGTAGTCTAATAGCCTGGATTTCATTTTGCATTGTATAGTCCCTCAATGATTTCAGTACCATAAAGATGTATTCCACTGGATCCTTTTATATAAAAGCTTTACTGTCTTCTCTACAAATTCAGACTGGATTTTCATTTTCATTGACTACTTTCACATTGTATTTTAAGATCCCAGGTTAAATATTTTATTGGAATTTCTTAATTAAGAACAAAAGTAATTTATTTTCTGACTGTATTCTGCCAGTTTTCCAAAGAGGTTGGGGTAGTCTCAGAGGCAAATCAGTACTTTAGACACATATTAACTTCTCAAAGAGCTAATATAGTTAAAGAATTTATTTGGTCTAGTAATTATTGATTCCAGACTGCTACTTACAATTCATAGCCAAATCTGTCCTTCCCACTGCAAGGGAGAGGCTAGAGCATCCCACAGGTTCTCCAGCGCAACCCAGATTCCATGTGTCAGCTTGGACAGGGAGGAGGTAGTGTGAGCCATGTGGCCACCTACAAGGTGATGCAGGTATAGGTGTGCTCAAGTCTTTCCCTCCAGCACAGAGCTAACTCTAACATTATCTGACTTGCACATCATGGCATTCTGTCTTCAAATGAGTAAAATAATGTTCTACCAAACATCTGACTTTTCTGCTTGGCTGCTTGAGATCTGTTTGATTCCTGCATGGTCAAAGACTACTTTGGGTTGTGCCAGGCTACTGAATAGCATTTCCTACACACATTTGGGGACCAGTTTGGAAATAAAATGACTGAAAAATCTTTGTCACAGATTTAAAGAACTGTAATTGATTGGTTAGCATGCTTTCTCTCCCTTGCTTTCTTTCTGATTTCAAGGTAAAGGTCTTGATGACCTCTGGAGGCCAAAATGGGAAATTTGTGAAATCCTTACCGTGTATTTCTGCAAGAAAAGGATAGAGCCGCAATGAAGTATAAACCAGTGCTCTCCACTGCATCAACTAGGATATTCCAGTAAA